ATGTTATTGAGAACAGCAACTACTTCTTCCTTAAATTGTGGATAAATGCTGGCTTTTTTGAATGTCATTCATTTATTCTCATGGATATATTCTGTCACTGCTATAAAGCCTCTCTGCTCCTGCTTTTTTATTGATTCTTTCCCTGTTGGGCTCTTGTTGTTTTGACTGAATCAACAGAGCCGTGTTCTGTTCTCATTCGTGATTTGTCTGCAACATGAGGTGTTTGATCATTTTTCTCTCTTCTACTTTTTCTTAATATCACAGAGACTACTCCTTCAAACTTGTCTGGTCTGACTTCTTTCTTCTGCTCCTTCTCCAGTCTTTCAGGCTCTTTCCTAGTCTTCTGTGCTTTGGGAGACTTCTGTGGCTTTAGTTAGCACAACTTTGAAAATGAACCCCAAACGCTAGGGCTCAGCCTTTAGCTGTTGGTCTCATTTCATCAGCTTCCCTTTAACACTTCCCTATAACCTCTTACTTTGTTGCAGTCTGTCCTAAAAGGTTTTTTCTTTTTCCTCCACATCTTTTGCACCACATCCTCTCACTTTCACCAGAGATGACTGCACTGTACTTTCCAGTGCCCCAAATTTTATTCTCCTTCTTGTTCTCCTTTTGTAGCCAGCGCTCATCTGACTTTTATCTCTTATCTCCAGATCCACATTTTTAGCTTCTAGTCCAAAACCTGTGTGTATGTCTGTTATCTTTTGCCTTGATATAACCTCCTTCTGCCTCAGCCACCTCCTCCTCTTCTCTGTTCTCCAGGGACTGGGCTGGATTGTCCCTACAGCCATCGTGGGCTGCAGTGGGGTGCAGCTGCAGCTCTGCTGTCCTTGCTGGCACCCTGCAGGCTCACACAGGCTGAACCCCTAGCCTGTCACAGGGAGCAGCTCACCACTGTCCCCACACTGTGCCTGTGGCTGAGAAGAATGGCAAATGGATCTGTGCTGCTCTGATTGCAAAGCAGTAAATATCCAATGCTGTTATTCAATATGCATTTTGCCCCAGTGTTAGCATACCAAAACAACATTGCAGTTTTAGTTGCTATTCTTTCTGCCATATCTGCCACACTGGTAATTTGTAGGTTGATGGTCTGCTGTGCTCTTGTACTATTCTTAATGCTCACCATTCCTGATCTTCTCAGATTTATATACAGGCTTCCCCATTCAAATTCAATTATTAATCTAATAAGTGGTAACAAAACAATAGAGCTCACATATTTAAACTGTATTGTCATGTAATGGTTGTGTCTAGGGAGCTGCCCTCTTGGATATAGTGAGTATTGTGGCCTACAGCTGTTTTCTTCTGTATCTCTTTTATAAAATGTTTATGAAAGCCTGTATTGTGATATCCTGCTCTCCTGGCTTTAGAGGAGTCATGAAGTACTTCTCATACAAGTGAGACAGACTGAACTCTGATGTTCCTCACAGTATCTGACTATAGTTTTCACTGACACCTTCACCACTAATCACATATCTGTATTTCACAGAACATTAGTTAAGCTAAAAATTAAACACAAGTCCCAGAGATTGCATTGTGTCTGCAGTAAGAATTTCTGGATAGTGTCCCATTAGGTTCTCTGCACTGCAGCCTTAAGATCTAATCAGCATCCCTCTTTGAATTAAACAGAACCCAAATAAGTTGTTATCATAATCTGTGTATGATCTCACAATATTTGACTTCCTGTAGCCACAACCAGCTCTGTGTCAAGCACTGTCATAGCAAAAGTATATTTGCAGAGAAATAAACCAAGTAATGGTCTTGACAGGATGAACAACCACTTCCTTTTGCATAGATACTTTGTACACTTAAAGCTGCCCTGTGACTGCCAGTAGGAAGTTCAAAATGCAGCTTTAATTTTATTCTTTGTTTTGTTCTCACAAGAGAATATATGAGAGTGAGATTTGGATTGAAGCAGAGATAACAATTTACTTAAGGTTTTGTTTGTGTTGAAACATGGATTCTCACAGTTTTGTAGACTGTAAACGTTTTTTGGGTCTAGGGCTTGAGGTGTGCCTTTGTACTCACTTCTTGGGTGCCTGAAATAGAGATCTTTCATAAACACAATAAAAGAGAAACACTTCAATGTGTTGTGTTGGAAAATACTGTATTTTCAAACTTTAAATGTTAACATTCTAAACACTGTGTTAGTTTAAGTTAATGTCTTTTAAAGTGATTATGCCACTTTGAATTACATCGGTGCTGTTTTCATAGTTTTTGAAGTTGTGGTTTTGTAACGTGTCATAAAGCGTATCTTAGTATTTTTTGAGTCTTTGCTGCTTTTTCTCAGATAGGATATGGCATAATGCCTCACTTGGTTTCCTAAATACTTTGCATGCTTGTGACCTGAGCTGGCTTTTAGATAACAAAATGCTGTAACCTCACATGAGGGGTAAGATGGGTTGTGTGCTGTACTCTGTGATCTCTGTGACCAGATTGTTTGATCTGAATGTGCCCAGGATTTCACCCTGAAATCCCAGGCCCTGGAAGCCATTGGGAAGCTGTAAAATGCAGCTCTAACTTTCATGAATAATTCTTTCTGAAGTGAATGCTGGGATGGGAGTGCTTCCATAGCAAACATTGCTTATGCAGGATATAAAATCTTGCTTAGACTAGATGCATGAGACTGGGCTTACAACTTCACTATGACCTGATCTTGCTGAAGAGTCACACAGTCTGTGGGTCAAACTGCCAGAGAAATCTCTGGAAAGATTCCCTCATGAGAGGGATAAATATAGTGTGTTCCTACTGCTTCTGGGCTGGAATATTTCTGGGTTAACCCCACCCCCTACTCCAGCAAAGCTGTGGGGAGAGATGGAATCAGCCTTGGCCTCATCTTTGGGTGCCAGTTTGGGAAACAGCTTGCATTCACTTACTCCCATATTTGTGGATGATAATCTTGATTTAAGATTCGAAAGGAATTCCCCCCTTCACCTTTTAGCAAACAGGTTGCTTGTGATTTGCAGTGTTACATTGGCAATGTGGTCATGTCTAGAATAGGAAAGTGACTGTCCTTACAACAATTTCCTCCTCTGTCTCCCTCAGGAGACCAGCAAACAGTGCCAGCAAACTTTCTGCAAAAATACGGCATTGATTATAGCACTGTTCTGGAGCTTGCTCTTGGTGTTAGTGATGTCAGTACATCAGGAGGTGTTATAAACAATTAAATTAAATAAAACAAAACATGCCATATTTTCAGCCTTCTAATTTGTAGAAGGAAAATGTGGATGGCAATCATTCAGCTCAGCCTATGTAGGTGGCTTTGCATTCAGTTTACAAGCCATAATCAAGCCTTATTCAATCCAAGTCTGAGTGGTCTTGAATTGCTTAAACCAATTATTAATTCATATTTTTTATTTAGAAATCTCATTGTGGCATGTCTTTCTTCTTTTCTTTCCTTGCCTGTATAAAAACAGGTGTATAAGTGTAAGGCTACATGGAGTCATCAAGCAACAGACATATGCTTTCCTGTGCTCTCCACAGGGCTTGCAGGTTCAAACACAACCTGCCTGAATCATAAGAACTTTAATTGAGTAGATAAAGAGGTCCTCATAATTATAAACTGCAGTAGGTATAACAAGAGGCTAAATACATAGCTGTGGTTTTAATTAGCTGGTGCTTCAAATTAGTAATTGTGGTTTCACTCAGAAATCAGTGACTTTATACACTGTTAAAGCCTCATCACTGTGCAGTTCATTCCTCATTATATCTCTCGGTGTGAAGCTTTCAATACAATATCATGCTGAGCTAAAAAGGCAAAAGTTGTAGATATTTGGTTATCTTCCAAGTGCAGTGGAGCTCTATGGAGATTTAATTCATTCTTGCCCGAGATAGGAGAATTAAGTGTTCTTTGTTACAGCTGGAATATGTGTGTTTGTGTGTAAGCATCTGTACATACAGGCTGTGTGTGGATGTGTGCATGCACGGCCAGGATCTATCAGGGAGATTGTGCTTACTGCAGATAACATCAGGGCATGCTCCGAATCTGCTATTCAAATTGTCATCTGGAATTCGGGAGCTAATTAACTGACACAAAGCAGAGCCAAAAGCCTCATAACAAATCAAATGCGGCTTGAAAGCACAGAAGTGTCCCTTAATGCTTGTCACATGAGAGGTTGTCAGTGCAAGTTGAAGTATGCATCTTTTCCTTTCCTCTTTCCTTTGCTATTTTTCCCTCTCCTTCAGGGTTTTAATTATATCTCTTCCCTCAGAGGAGCAGGAGGTAGTTTGCAGAGCCAAGAGACCAAAGTACTTCAGTGTTATTCAGGGGAGAAGTGAATGTGGTCTCTCAGCCTGTCATCTAGGTCTGGCAGGTGCGCAAAGCAAGCTGACACGCACATAAGTGCCACTCACCATTGCTACACCGAGGTGCTAGATCCTTTTCTGTGTTTGTGTGCAGAATTATCTGATCCTGGCATCAACTAGCCTAAAGTCTTTTCCGGCAGCCTGCTTCTACAAAACCCTTCTTAACCCCTCCTTGACATCTCCAATGAAGCCATACATAAATTTTAACAAGAAGTGGGACAGAATTAGGTGGTCTAAATCACACGAGGCTAAAGTGAAGCCTTGGGATGGATGTTCAGTGTAATGGATTTGTAGATGTTGCTGAGTTTCCTCGCCTTCACATTTGCTTTCCCTGCACAGACCCATGCTTTGTGGGCACACGTGTTTGTGTGCAGGTGCATGGGTGTTTACAGGCTGCTAGTACAAGGATGTCAAAATGTATTTTATTCTTCTGCATAATGCTCTGTGAATTGGTAAACAATATTTTCACTGTTTCATTGAATCACTTTCCATTTTAGAAGTGTACTGACTGCCCTACTGCCCAATTTTGCAGTTTTATGATTCCAGATTTAAATTTGGGAAAATTATTCAGTGGCTGTTTCTTTCAGAATTGTCCTCAGGAGTTACATTGTTTGTGATGGTTTGTTGCTATTACTGATAGTAATAAACATGTAACAAAATGATGGGAAAAATAATGTGTTGTCCTTTTTGTCTTTCTCCAGTCACTATGAGCAAGACCGGAGTGCACTTAAGCGGAAGGAATGGGAGAGAAGGAACCAGGAGGTCCAGCAAGATGAAGATCTCTTTGCTTCAGGTTTTAACCTCTTTGGGGAACCCTACAAGGTAAATTACATTGTTACATTTTGCATTTTCAGAATGTCTTACACAAATACAAATAAAGCTTCTCATCAGCTCTGATAAATGGAAGTATTGCATCTGCCTTGGTACTTCCACTCTTGAATACACTGATTATCCAAATCAGCATAGGGCATCAGAGCAAACTGAATGTGCTGCCCAGGTTGCATTGGCAGAATCAGGAGTTTTGGTTACAGTCCAGTTCAAGATTTCTTCCTCTTAACATACAGCAAAGTCCTGCAGTAGAAGTATGTGCAGCTGGTATTTCTGCAAGTGGTTTGTACCTACAAAGCTTACAATAACTTCTTTCATTTTTAGGAAGAAAATATATCTGAGTTTTTAAAACCAATGTCCTCTCTATAAATAATGAGTCCATAATCTTTCTTGTGCAATCATAACCATCTAAAGAAGTCTTTTGGGAGACTGAATCTTTGGGGAGCATAACAAGGATATGAAAGGGACTTTTGTTACAAGTCTTATTCTCTCTAAGGAGCTTTGCTGCCTGAGATTTTTATCACCAAGGGATGTCCCCCTTTATGATTTCTGCTGCTTTGATTTTCAGTAAGACATTCCCTAAAGAATTCATCAGAATGTAAATTTCCATATCTCTTTCTCCTCCCAATCAGTGACATCCATTGAAAGGCCACCACTTCATCTTTCCATTTTACATTGTTAGCAGCTGTAAGAGAGGATGAGGCTCTTTGAAAATCACCCAAAAAGGAGGAGAAAAGGCTGCCATTATTATCACATGGTGCCTAATAATTATAGACCATGAAATATGTGGTGGATGCACTTGACTCCTGGATGTACTTTGGTTCAGGCAGGCTGAGGAGCAGTAGGCCTTTGTTTCTTGGCATGAGTTTGCCAGCTGGAAAGCCCCTGGCTCATGTTCAAAACAGTGAAGGTGTCTTGACAAACATTTCAAAAGGTGGTTTTGGAAACCACCTTTTGAAATGTTTTTCAAGTGGAAGATAACCAAAGTACAGAGCAAGATATCAGAGCTAAGTGAAGACATCTATCTTATCTATTGTATTGATTAGCAGCCAACTACTTTACCCTGTAAATGTCACCACCAGGATGAGCCCAGTTTGATCTCTCCCTGAAGTGCAGCTGCACTGCACCCCAGGTGACCCTCTGCTTGAGCAGGGATGCCTCTCAGGGATAAAGATTCCCTTCTTTACCCAAGGCTGAGATCCCTTACCTGTGACATACACTTGGTAAGTGGCTCATACCATGCTGAATTAATCCTATAGAGTCCATGTAGCTACTCAGTATTATTGTAAATATTGAATGGATAATTCCATTAGACTAATGTAAATGGTAATTTGGATTTCAGGAGGTAGACTAGTATGCAAAACACTGCAAAATTTTGTGGCAAGAACTAAAATTGTATATCACCAATATCTATTGTATAATAAGAATGACAGTATCTTATTTTGGATCTATTTAGTGTGTGTATTTGCACCAGGTGTACACAGAGCATGTGGTTTCTTTTCAAAAACTGAATGACTAAAAAGCCAAAAATTATCCTGATGGCCTTTCTGGGCAATTGTTTTAAGTTGCTTTTCACCTGCTTGGCAGAGAAGTTTGTAAACTTCGTGTGATTAAGCAAAATATAATACAATATTGCCCTAAAAAAGCATTATAAGTTGTGAAAGATAAAAATTGATAGGAAATTGCATGGAAAAGTAGCTAAATATTCAGTATTTAAATCAGTCTTAAATTTGAAAAAACAAATAGAAGCAAAACTAGATAGGAAAGCTAGGTCTTGCTTTCATTAGGAGAAAAAAAAGGGATGAAGTGATAGCCCCACTGTTTCCTTTTTAAGTTCTGCATTGCTAAGACCCAGCCACAGTAGAGTTTCCTAGGCACTAATAAAAGCTAAATCTAAGTCTTTATGTATGTAGTGATTTTTATTCCTAAGTAAGTGCAAAATTAAATTCAGGAGTTTGTTTGCATTTTTTCTAAGACAAGTGAAGAGACCCTGATGTGAGAACAAATATCCTGCACGTGCAGTCAGAATTTCTTCTCTATTTGAGATGACCAGATGTTTCTGTGTTCATGAGACTCAAGGCCTTGTGCACACAAGAAGCTGCCCTTGTCTCTCCTGGTCACTCTCAGTGGGAGCAGAGTGAGATAAACCACTGCCAGCAAAGTGCTGTGGCCTCTGATGGGCACAGGCTCCACATCCTCACTGGGCTGGCTCTGCTGCTGAGCAACAGCTCCTGGTACAGCTGGTACATTTCTGAAAGATCTGAGGGTGGGAGCTGACATGGAGACTACAGTGACAAAGAGGAGGTTGGGAATAGCAGGTTTCAGGAAACAGGACACATCTCTCTCTCTCTTTCTCTCTTTCTCTCTTTCTCTCTTTCTCTCTTTCTCTCTTTCTCTCTTTCTCTCTTTCTCTTCTTTCTCTCTTTCTCTCTTTCTCTCTTTCTCTCTTTCTCTCTTTCTCTCTTTCTCTCTTTCTCTCTTTCTCTCTTTCTCTCTTTCTCATCTTTCTCTCTTTCTCTCTTTCTCTCTCTCTTTCTTTCTTCTCAGACCTAGTGTCCTTACTTGTTTATCATTCCTTCCTCATTTGCTTCAACAGTATCCAGAGGAGGGACCAGGTAGGGTGAGGGCAGGGCAAACTACCACTGCTGTTTCTGAAGGTTTAAAGACTGAACAACTGGCAGCTGTTTTAAGACTGCACTAAGAAATTGATATTAAAAGTTGCATTAAAAGAGCAAGGAGCTGAGATTTTCTCATGGAGCCTACTGCCATTGTGTATCATGAGATGTGTGGAGTATCTGCCTTCATCTATCATCTCTCTGCTCTAGCTGTTACAGCCTCTTTCTTTCCCTCTGTCAAATAAAACGTGGGTGTTCATTATAGTTTTGGACAAATGCGTGTTTCTACATTGATTCTTTGTAGTTTATGTATGTGTGCACTTAGATGAAAAGAGATACTTATTTCTGTGGGTGTATAAAATAAATTTTTCCATGCTTGTTAAAAGATAAATGTCTCCTTTTGAAGCTCCACTGTCTCATGTGGGAAAACAACACCTTTGACAATGTGATGACATCCAGCATTATTTTGGGAAGGTCAGGCAGTAAGGGTTGTGTTGCTCTTTAATGCAAGTGGGTTGCAGGTCCTGCCTTCAAACCCTGGTGCAACCTGTTCATGCTGGATTTTGCAGAAGGGATCAGAGAAGGGCCTGCAGTGTAACAGCAACAGACATTTGAAAAAGCAGTGTTGGAGCTTTCCTGAGAGAAGCTGTAATTTTACTACTGAATTGTTGATACCTTTTAATGTTTTGAATTACTCACAGATGAGTATTTTAAAAGAAAACAGTAGGAGTATTTATGTTACTTTTCAAAGGAATTGCCGCAGAAGAGTTCAGCTTGAGAAAGAGAACCTAATGGGCAGCATTTCCATTGTGGAGCCTTTGGTGAATATTAAATCATTTATCTTTTTCAGGTAAAGCCCCTCCATGCTTTTCAAGCTTAGCATAAAAAAGATCTCAGCTTCTAATCTGTGGAGGTTAGTTTAACTATGAGGCATAAGGAAGTGAATGAATTATGAAACCTCAAGTTTCACACAAATTTTCAAAAAACCCTTGTAAATGGGGCCTATAACTTTGAGTGCATTAGTTCTTTTCTTTGTAAAACTATAATGCAATAGCTAGCTAGCAAATTAGTCTTCCAGTAGGATTCTATTATAGATAGCTTTTGAAAGAAGTAGAAGCAAATGCAGAAAGATGGGCATTTCCTAAATTAAGAGACGCCTAGAATGAGGGGGAATGCTACTAGCCATGAGTCATAAACCAGGCATATAATTTATGCCTTGGAATACTCAAAATGCTGCATTTCCTTGATAGCAAAAATATTGTGATTCAGCATGCTCTTCAAAAAATAAGACAGACAGAGGTTTTCTTTAGGAAATCAGCCAATTACCCAGCATATGAAGGTAGAAATTGTCCCCAGTCTGGAAGTAACAAAGAGCAAGGAGAAATTATGACTGGATTTTGTGTTTCTCATGCTGGTATCCGGGTTTGTCAAGAGTACTATGCTTCTTGTGCAAGTTCTGAATTGGTTGTGGAAATAAAGTAAAAACATTATTGTTATGCTTTATGTCTTAAATGCAGATGGAACAGTGCACTACATTCCTGAGCTCATTCAGATTGTGGTGTGATGCCTAAGTCTGATCTTAGCTGTGTGTGCTCTAATTTTATTTAAATGTAAGCCAAATTACCATTAATAATGGGGTTTTTTGCTTTGTAGTCTGGTCCAAAGGCCACTGAAGAGAGTAATTATCTTTCCATTGACTTCAGTAACCATTGGATATGAGCTTTAGTGTACTTAAAATACACTAAGGATGTTTAAAATAATTTAATCTCCATGGTTTTCAGTAAATATGTTTTTATTAATGTTCCCTGTAAAAGACTATGAATAATAATAATAATAATACCTAACATTTATACAATGTCTTTTATCCCCAGGATGTGAGCATTAGTCGTAAAATAGAGTTAATATAAAGCAAAGTTATATTTATCATCATGTGACATGTAAAAGAAAATACATGGAGAGAATTAGGTACCTCCAACATAAAATAATTGAAAAGATCTACTTTCAAGTTAAAACATTTTCTCTGTGAGGATCTAGACAAGAGCCATTTAGTGTGCTGGGATGTTGAAGTGTTACAGTTATGATATGTTGTCAGTACCTTTATTTTTTTTTGACTTGTGCTTTCTGGAAAGTAAGCTAAATGCTCCCTGGAAGTGTAGCTGAACCACAGAGGTGAAGGTTGGTGGTCAGGGGTGTTTTTGGTACTGTTATTTCCCATGTTCTATCCCGTAAGGAGTTAAAGTGTTTGGGCAGGGAGGAAACAGAACAAGTATGTAAGTGTTTAGACTTCGAATCATAATTCCTGCTGGGCCCTTAAGCACAATGGAATCTCCTTGTTTTAAATTTGGGGGTTGAACAGAGAAAGCCTGGTTTTGGCTGCTGCCCAAACAACTCATTGTGCAACTCAGTTGAAGGAGACTGCTCATATACAAAGAGCTTATTCTTGGCTTAGCTAGAATATAATTTTTGCCACTAAAATGACCAACCTAGGGACTTAGTGAATTAAAGTGATTCGTGGTTCTCCACAACTGGGATTATTAACTGTATCACTTAGGAGCACTGGCAAAATGTATAGAGACGGGAACAACATTGAACAGTTAATTTTTAAATCACTGCCTCAGTGCAGTGCTAATATATGTTACAATCCCTGAGAATGAGCAAAAGGAAATTTGCATTTATTATCTTCTTTTTTAACATTTTTCATGGCATATTCACTACTCTGCTCATCCTCTGACTAGTTCAGCAGTGTCTAATGTAAGTAGATATTTCAGGAGAAATCCATGCATGAATTTTTTCATCATTCAAACTTCTCTTTAGTACTTGGGGAGAGTGGGATCAGGGGCATAGTAGGATTCCTCACCAAAGAACTGTGACACTCTCTAACCAAGTACAAGCTCCTACTGCTGATTTTTCCCATCTCAATGGCCTGGTGTTAAGGTGCCATTGGACTGTGGCACTACTTGTTTTATTGAGTGAAAAAAACCCCTCCAAACAGAAGTAGAGTTGGCTGTATGATGACATAACTTTGTCATTTAATTCCAGACTGTAGAACTGAACCATCTGCTTGAACAGGAACTGTAGTTCAGCTTTGTTTTTATCCTTTGAGTCTTGTAAAGCCATGAGCATGGGGAATAAGATGTTTTAGTTCTCTGCTGGTCACTTCAGTTGAACAGAAAGGTCAGTAGGAAGGCTGCTGCTTTGCATCCATGTGGGGTGAGTTAGAACAGGAAGAGAGAGGAAATCAGCTGTGTATTAATTATAGCTTCCAGCTTATTTCTCCAGCTTTTTACAAGTGAAACGGAAAAGGAAAAAGAAACTTAATGCTTCAAAAGAAAAAGTATAATAGCAGTGAAACAAATATGAGTCAGTACTTATTTAATAATTACTGGAAATCAAAGAAAAGCAGGATTAAGAAACACAACCAGCCTGCAGACAGCAAAAGAATCCTGATGCTTAAGAATGTGGCAGTCATGTCTGTTTATGTTCTATGAGAAAATATTTTTGAATGATCTTTTAGTTGAACCTACCATAGCATGTGGTAGAAGCTTTTTCTTCTCTGAATTCAGATTAGATACTTCAGGTCAAACTCTACTTTCTATGGAAAAGTAATTGAAGTTAAACTGGAGTGAAGAGTTTGGTGCTATTACAGATTGCCCAGCTTCTATTTATGGCAGGACTGTGGGTCAAGGGGCTGATAGAGCAATAACATACTTATATCAACTCTGTGATTACAATTCAAATGCTCAGTAGCCAGTAATTGTGCATTCGTGTTTCGCACGATATGAAATGTACAAGCCCAACATCTCTGACATAAACCCAGCTTATTTTGTGCCTAACATCCATAACTGATGCAATTTAAACACTTCTCTGAGAGCATATTTAAGAAAATGGGAAGCAGTAGACAAGTGTTACTGATGCAAGCCTGTTTCAAGAGATTCTTTGAACACAGTTATTGATAGGTTTTTCTTACATAACATATGCAAAATGTAATTGAAATTTAATTAAATGTCAGCATGACACCATTAAACAGCTAACATTTGCCATCTTCTAAGACAACTATTCTGAGCAGTAACTTGTAAATCAGGAATTTACTCACGCTTTTCTTGTCTTTTTCTTTATTTATATATTTTAGACAAATAAAGGCGACGCCCTTGCAAACCGTGTCCAGAACACATTGGGAAATTATGATGAGATGAAGGATCTGTTAACCAACCACTCCAACCAGAGCCACCTTGTAGGAATCCCAAAGAATTCTGTCCCACAGACGCCCATTGACAAAAATGAACAGAACTTTTTCCCAGAACCGAGGAACAGGATGATCCCATCTCATCAGATCAGCAGCAACTCATCAACATCAATGCCTCCACCTTCTTCATTGTCATCTAATTCTACTTTGCTGCACGGCCACCAGAGCAGCAGGAAGTCGAGGACAGACTGGTCACGCAGTGGTCACAACTCCAGTGGGGCCCAGCCAAGCCAATCCACTGGTCAGCAGAGTCGGACAAAGCACAGCTCTTCTCATGACCAGTCACAGGGCAGGTATGAAGATCTCTACAACTGCCAGAGTGAGCAGCATAAAAGTGGGGGAACTGAGGAGGCAAATGCTATGGCAACATCTTCACATTCAAGGAGGCACACTCATGCAAAGTCAGCATCTGGAGAACACACTTACAAAGAAAACAGTCATTCGAAGTCACCCACAGAGCTTGAGTTTGTAGGCCATGGTCCTGGATCTCCACTTCCTTCCACTTCTTTGTTAACTGCAAACAATGGTCTTTCCACTCAGAATTTCCCACCAGGACTTCACTGTAAGAACAGCATGGTCCAGCAAAAGCCTACAGCTTATGTCAGGCCTATGGATGGTCAGGACCAGGTACCCAATGACTCACCTGAACTGAAACCCCCAATAGAAATTGAGAGTGGATATGGAAATCAGTCCTTTGGAGCACTGCTGGAAGGAAAAGTGAACACACCTAGTTCGAAGAACAAAGTACCAAAGCTCAACATTCCTCCTGTTAGTGAAGTAAGTGGTTTAAAATATCTTCTCTCTAGTACTGCTTGGGTATTACATTCACTAAATATTTTTCTATGGAAATATGCAGTTGCACTACTGGAATGAACAATACAGTGTATTCCTTTTCCTAGACTGTGCATGACTTCTTTCAGCAGTTTGTTGTGATAGTCCCAGTAGCAATATTTAATGTAGTTTTTAAAGCACAGCTTGGAATACTAACATTTCTTGTTTATGATTAATATTAAAAGGCTAGATCTCTGTTGGGTGTAATATATGTGTACCAGCTATACTGGTTCTGGACAGGGAACTCTAATATCTCAGTTCATCTGCAATTTTCACTCTTGAATTCTCAGTTAGTAGGTAGTTTGATAGACAGATTGCTATTTTAAATTCTGAGGAAAAATGGCAGTGTTCAAATTTCAGTGGTACTAAACAGTCCTGCCAGTAAGGAGTTTATTTGCAGAGTTTGCTTAATTCCTTTTTTTCTTTTTATTGGAATTAATATGACTTAAGTTGTGAATAATGCTTATGAAAATGTGTCCCATTGAAGCTTTTATGCATTTTGAAGAGCTCTTAATACTGGGATTCAGTCCCAATCTCTGCAACCAACAGTTTAAGCTGTTGAATTTTGTATTGCTGGTCAGAACAGTAGTCCTGTGAGGAACATTTTAGTTGGTTCATATTCGTGTCCATTCCAAGCACAAATGTATAATAAGGATATGGATTGAACTATTTATACTCTGTGTATTTTTTCTCTTACTCTGAGTTGCTCTAAGCCTGTAACCTTTGGAAGGTAGGTGTACAGTGTACATATAAGCAGAATTGCAAGATGGGTTTTTCATAGCTTTCTCTTTTCCCAAAAATATTTCCCTGCTTGGTAATATTTTTATCCTAGGAATGAGGAGCGATGCATTCTTAAGCTACTTTATTGCAAAAGGTCAGCTTTTTCTATTGGAATAATTGTTTCAAGCCAATAATTTGTTTGACTATTTAAAAACTTGATGTTATTTATTAACATTCCAGGCAGCAACAAAGACTGATGTGTTTTGCAGTAGAGCTTGGAATAATTTTCTGGGAACTGCATCTGAAAACAGTAAAAGGCCTATTTATATCAAGTGGAAGCTGAGGGTTGCTTGCAGATGGTGTTTTATTAGAAAATGTATTTGTTAATAAACGTAGCTTTCTGCAAGATTACTTTACAGATGTTTCTGTTTATTTTTACCTTGGGTTAAAAATCTGCTGGTGTAGATGACTTCAGAGTCTGCTGCGATTTGTCGCTAGCATTGTTTGGCAAGTAAATAATTGCATGCAAAGGAAATAATGATGTTGCAAAAGCAAATACTTTTTTTCGCTCCTGCCATCTATTAAAGCTATGAGTCAATAGAAGCACTTTAAAGTGCAGAATTAATGCAAAGTATTTTTGGAAATAAATTGTACCTTTTGCAATTTGTGTCAACTACTAAGAATGCATTTTTAATTTCTTTACTTTTTGAGTGAAATCCTGCCACTATGAAATCGATTGAGTTGTTAACAATGTTTTTTGGGTGCAGAATTTCACCCACATTCTTCTTGCATAGCTCTAGGAACATCTGATATGAATTGTTGTTTTTGGAAGGATTCCTAGTTGCAAAGTTGAAAAATTGCATTATGAATTTGTTGCTATTTTAGTTTATATCCTGCGTAGTGAAAAGTATAGGTGCATAATTAATTTCATGTTCAGATAAATGGTAAACTCTAGGAAATTTAGAAATGAAAGTAGTTAATAATCTTCAAGCAGTCTGCATTTTGGGAGTGAATAGTAAGTTGAAGAGGGAAAGAAAACTCAAAGCTGTGACAAAATAACTTTCCTTTCTGAGACAGAACCCAGGACAATAGCCAGACTGATGGATCTTTTACAGGCAAATCTCCTCCTGAGTTTGGAGAGTTGGATTTTTTCGCCTGTGTCAGGACTGTGAACTTTGGCCCTCTGTGTTTTTCCACAGATGTGTATCCTGAATTTGATTTACCTTGCGTTCAGCTATAAAACTCCTTCCAATCCAACATTATAGATAACTGGTTTAGTTTAAGCTTAATCAGAACTGACAGTGCACACCTGTGAAACCCATAACCTTTTCAGAATGACTGCAGTGAGTGGCTCTGTTGTAATCTTTATACAATTGATGTGGAGGCTTACAATCCTTTGGTGGTGCTTATCAATTTATGAACCTTCCCAAGCCACCTCGAGCCATAGTGATCTGCTTGAAACAATTTTGTTCCTACTCCATGGGTTTCCATCTTAACACTGTTCCATGTGCTGGTGGTGATCTTCAAGTTAGCAATAGGAGAATTGTTTTGGGGCATTTCTGCATAATTTGCTCTGTGGTTTTCCTCCATGTCTGAGTCCATTTTTTCAAGTTTCTGAGTGTATGCAGATAGAATGCATTCTGAAAGGTTTTTAGTGATTCTTTCAAAGTTTTGCTTGTTCTTAAGGTGAGGAATTCTGTAAAGAAATAAAATTCCTAGGTGATGGTCCTGCAATAATGGCGTCCATTTGGGTGTGCAGTGTTGGAAAAGAAAAAGACTGTTCTTGCTATCTTACAGAGAGAGAGGGGAATAAGTAACCAAATATTTGAACAAGCAGATTTAAAAGAAGTGCTCAGACTGATGTGGAAATATGGTGTCATTTATCATGGCTTAATGGAATAAGATGTTGAGTGCCCTGGAAACGTTCTGCCATGTGTAAGGAAGTGATCAATTTTATAACATAATTTGTGTCACTTGAGGTGTTGCTCTAAGAATCTTTGCTCATTTGCTGGGCCCAATTCTGCCATCAGAGATGCCCATCCATCTTTCAGCTGCTCTGTGCAGACAGCTTTGTTAATGCCTCGCTGCTGGCATGTCTCTGCCGGGCCAGGGATCGTGGGTCAGTGATTTCTGAGGTCCTGGAGATTCACAGGGAGTTCACACAGACTCACCAGGTGGGGTCAGGAGGTGGTTAGCAGCTCTTACACACCTGTGGACTAACCCTTGTCTCTGAGTGGGTGCTGCTGTGTGATTCCCAGACCTTGGCTCACCCACACAGAGCTAGTTCAGACCTGACTGCATCATGAGTGGCCATTTCTGGTAGAGAAATAGAAATAGCAGAGCCTCTGTAAACCTTTAGTTACGTTGTGGAAGGGTTTCTTTGTGGTTTTGTGATCCTATTGATTTATATTTACCTTTTTGCTTTGTTTTTCATATCAGTATTGTTTTCTAAGGGTAAAGGTAAAACATATTATGGTTTGGTGCCTTGAGCCAAACCCAGTGTAACCAGGCAGGCGGCCTGGCAGCCCCTGAGGTTCAGAAGCTGTGGAGCAGATCTTCATGAACTGGGAAGCCATAGGGTCATGATGGGAATTCCTGGGGCACATGCAGAAATCCACCAGATCTCATGACATAGGGTTGATAGCAGTGGCCTTGGAGCTAAAACTGGGAGAGAAAATGTTAGAAAGCCTCAACTTGTAAATGTTATTTCCTGTTCCTTTCCTATCAACTCCCATCTCTTTAGTATGTATTTACATGCATACTAACATTGCAATAGGTATATATTAATTTTGAACTTGCATTTAACATCTGATAAATTGTGGCAAGCCGGGAATGTTGCAAAGAGCTTTTGTATTATGCAGAATTCCACCTACTTAAATCCTGTGATGGCAGATGATTGTTACTTACCACTCGAAGAGAGCTGCATAGTTAAATCCTATGCATTTCTTCAAAAAAGTAGATGTTAGAGACCACAATAACAGCTGATCCTCTCTCTGCTGCTTTAAAATCCAGAATCTTGATACATGTATGTATATTTAAACCTCTAGGAATCAGATGCTTATAAATTATTTCAAATTGACTAACACAGCAGGTGACAGCTGAAAGAAAGCCTGTACTTTTCAGATTGGGCTGAAGCACAAATCACTGGGAGCACTGAGTAAAGCAGAGGGTTTTAAGGTCTGTGGGAACATCAGAAGCTGCATTCCTGGAAAACCTTATGCCCAGTTCCCCAGAACAATGCATGGATTTCCAATAATGGTTTAGAGATGGGGAATCAAGAGCAATTGAGATAATTTTTGATTCTCAAGGCAGTTTTTAAATCTCACTACAGAATTGGCTTCATGTTCCTGCAAAGTAGCAAATGCTCATGTACAAAATTTTCCCGAAAATACAAAGCTAGGAACAAATCCAAAAGGCCTACGACATCTATGTCACTTTCCACTTATGGAATAAAAAATGGAGAACTTCTATTTTCACTTTACTTCTAGGAAAATATTTTGACGGGTTCAGTATACTGCAAAGTGATAAGCTTCTGTTACGTGTTTCAAATCATTCTGTTATCGCTGCATGTATTGATTTGCTTAGTGCTTTCTGAGCTAGCTATAAAAAAGGCTGTTCTCCTTCTGCATTAAAGAGCAAGAAAAATTGACAGGTAGATAACCATATTGATTGAACCTAAATAGTAAATGCAAGAGGCTTATATATGACTTATAAAACTCTCTATAGGAACCAAAGCCAGCATAATACCTTTTTTTTTTTTTAATTTAATAGAAAGTAGATGCCTTTAACCAGCCCCACCCCTTCTTGATATACATGCTACTCTAGTTGCCAACTGTAGTACATTACCATGGTTCTGGGCAAACCACTTTTTTCAAATGCCAGCTTCAGTTGTCCCCCTGGCTTTGAGCTTGGAAGAAGAATGGACTGAATCACGCATTAAGATGAAATCCCTTTGCTTGGTTCATATTTCAAAAGTCTGAGGCCAAAAACAAACCCAAAGAGCAGTATTTCTTGCAGTATTAGAGGTTACAGCCATATGTTTTTAATTTGTAAATACTGTGAGAAGTAATGTTCTTATGATACTTCTAAATGAAGACCATATGACACCATTCGACTGAAGACCTCTTATTGTGGCCTTTTGGAGGCTACTGTCCCATGGCCTGGACAATGGCTACCTAAGCTGTTTTCCAAGGATAGTGAGAGGACAGCTTGTCTATTTTAAATCA